TCCAGGTTGTTCTAGCGGCTTCCATAATTTCAAAATCTGATAAATATGTGCCTTCTCTGTATGTTTTTGGAAAACAAAGTATGGTACTTGAGTAAGTTTGGAAAACAAAGTATGGTACAGAGGGAGTATACAAAGTTTGAAGAAAACAAAATGTCTTTCGAAAATTATGGTACTTGAGTAATTAGTTTGCATTGCATAATCATGTGTAAATTTATTGGAGACGTGAGAATTGCGGTCAATGTGGAGTCATTAATTAAGACATAGAAGAGTAACTAACCGCTAAGACTTATGTGAGATTGGCATGAAAAACGCAACTTGTGCATAATGACAATGCTGGATGATTGAATTATTAATTTTTCTTCCACTTGCCAGAGGTAATTCTTCTTTCTTTGGATATTCTTAATTTTTCCTTCTATTATGTCCTTTGTTTTAAATGAATGCTGAGTTTTAAAAAAGCGAATTCGTTTAATTGTTTTAAAACTTTTTTAAAAAGTTATTTGTTAATATTAGTCTCCAATTGTTGGTTGATAGAATTTTCGGCACCGAAAAAAATATCGTCAGTCTGGCCGTGTTGGATCATGTGCTGGATTTATTTGATCGTTTCTTCTTGATTGGCCCCGCTAAAGAAAGTTGTTAATTCTCCCTTCTTAGTGGTATCTCATGTGTAGATTATGTGAAATTCGGGATCTTTCGTTTTATTCTGAAATTATTGAAGTTTATCTTGAAGCTAACGTTTTGGTTGAAGGAAAAAAATGAAATTTTAAATTTATCTGATTTAAGAGTTCGAGATTCGGTGCAAATAAAAATGACGGAGTTGTGTTTTAAAGTACTTTAACCCTAATATCAACAAGGACATAATTGTTTCAACACATCTTCTTTTGTTTGTGAGGAAGGATGAGCAACTGGAATATGTCTTGCTGGTGTGGCTATTGCACACGGTGGCGTTCTACGAAAATTTGACCCGATTTTGTTTCCTAAGAAAACTTTTTCTGGCTATTAATCAAAATGTTTGTGTTTTATTTATATAAATTTTTATCTTCTCGATATACAATTACTAATGATTTAAATGGTTTTAATTGTATGGTAATTAGCAGTTAGAATATCAAATTTATGTAATTTATTTTTAAGAATTTGTTCTTTTTATACTCCTTGAATTTTTCTTAGTTAGATAATACATAGATAAGCTTAGAAAATCTTTATCTGTAATATATAAATTAATTGTTATAAATTACAAAATATATGTTCTAAATAACCCCGAAATCATGGTGTTTATGAGTGTGTGTGTTTTTCATAGAAAATAGAGAGAGTATTTAAATTTGTTAATGACCAACTAATTATTTTATAGACTTTTTTAATATCTTTAGATCGTGCGAAGAAAATGACTAGTGAAAAGATAAAGTGAAGGCGGAATTGGCAAAATTAACAATAAAATGGAAAGATACTAAACAAATAAGTAGGATGAGATATTTGGTGTCTGAATTTTGTTGAAGTACAAAACGCTTTCTAAATCTAAAATCAACTTATTTTGATCAAAGGGAAGAAGAATTGTTTCGAAAAGATCGAAAAGTGTTCCAAAGTTGAAGATTTGTTTGTGAACCTTCTTCCATAATTTAATCAGATTTCGCCTTTAAATTCAAAACTTATCCAAAAGATATTGTCAAAATATTTTCACAAAAGAAATAACCCAAGCACTTTATCGTCAAAAGCTTTTCTATAAGCTTTTCATGACAAATCTCATACATATTTTTCCAAAATGGAATTTAATCAAAACTTAAGATTTTTCGACAGAGATTGAAAAGTAAGGGCATAGCATTAGACAGCAAAACAATCAGTTTAGGGGCCTATGGGCCAAAACTCAAGCTCAATAAACCTTTATGGGCCGTGCAAAAAAACGTAAAAATAACATTTTGTAGTCACTCTAAGGGGTTACTATTTAGAAATTAGTCAAATGTGTTCAAGTTTTTGGCTTGGATTGTCGAGATATTACCATTTTTAGTTCAAATTTTTATGATAAATACTAACTAATCCCTGAATAGGAAAGTCAGTTTGTGTACTTTGCCCGAAAAAAAATTTCATGGCCCAAAACTCGTTAAGTTCTGCGTTATTTATGCTTCAATGATATATATTCTTATTGGAAGTCGCTCATTTTGTTCGACTTTTGAAATATATTTTTCTGTACCAATGATCCTCAAAATAGGACCAACGAAAATAGAGGCTCTGCGTTATACCCAACTTTTTTTTTAATTTAAATAACTTCTTTTTACATTATTATTCCTGAATTTTGCTGGCTATTAGATTACAACATCCATATTTGCTGGCATATTTGAATGTTATCATGGTTAGATCATACTATATTATAATCATGAACACTTTGGGGTAAAGTTAATTTACTAAAATATCCTTCAAAAACTAAATGACAATTTTATCCTTATAAAAAACAAAAACAAAAAATCATTCTATTAAGTGTTAATTTCAGCTGCATTTGAATTGAATAATGCAGAGAATTGTTTCATCTTCCATTAACAGGTTTTTGCAGTAATTGTTATACTATTTACACTGTAGCATTTTCACATTCTAAGCTTTATTTGCTTTGTCCTTTGAGTTACCACCGATAATAACAACTATATGTAGCATTTTCACACCTTTATTGCACTATATAATAGTGCTCAACAAAAGTGTCAAATCATTTTATTCTTTTTTCTTCTCCTTCTAAAAAATTCTCTTTATCTCAAAAACCGGTTGATGTGTGTTTTGCTCAACACCATCTTGATAGGTAAATTTTTTTTATTTTTTTGCTAGACCAATTCAATTTTTGTTGATTGCATTATATTTTAGAGCCTCCTTGTTCTATTTTATTTCCTACAGAGGAGTAGGTCCTACTTTACAATATATTAAAGGGCTTACGAAGTTAAGGCAGACACTGCCCTTTAATTTTTTCCTTTAAACATACATTCTTAGGTCTGTTAATTTTCCAATTGGTTAATGCCTAGGCTATACGAAAGATTTTCTTAGTATCAGCTTGATATATAAGATGGTGTATTGAGATGATTCATGTTTAAAAAAAATAGGAGAGAGATGATTCATGTTAAATGAACAGTATTTTTAAAAATATGCAATTTCTGGATGCTTATTCTACATAACTTAAACAGTAAAAGTGATATATATTGCTATAAGATATTATGAGATATCAAAAAATATGAAAACTGTCAACCTGAATATTTGATACGTTAGAGGAACTTCATAAAAAAAAGGGTTGTAACAATTCAGTTGATTTTTTACAGCTACGAATTGCGATAGTGAGTGACAATCAAGCCATTCGATGATTCGAATAGGCTTACTGTTCATCAATTCTAGTTTGTACTTCCCTTTCAAATTTTCAAATACTCACTATTACATGTTTTAATATCATCTATACTGGTTTAAAAAAGTACAACAACAACAAACTCAGTGTAATCCTACAAGTGGGGTATGGGAAGGATAGTATGTATGCAAACTTTACCCCTACTTTGTGAAGATAGAGACTGTTTCCAATAAACCCTCAGCTCAAGAAACAGTGACAAGGAAACAATCAACCATAACAATAACAAGAAAAGAAGAGAAAAATAAAAACAAGGACTCACGTATACTAACAAATATCTAGAGATAAGAAAATATTACTAATACTATCAATAAGCTAGAAAGAAATACATATAATAAAAAGGCCTAGGAACAGGAAATAATAATATTACTAATACTATCAGTAACACTAAGAAACACCCTCGGCTCTCTATCAACCTTCAACTCTAATTCTCAACCTCCACACTTTTCTATTTAGAGTCATGTCCTCGGTGAAATGAAGCAATGACATGTCTTGCCTTGCCTAATCACCTCTTCCGGATACTTTCTTACAATGCCACGTGGAGGTGCCTCTACTGTGCCCAATAAAGTCTTACAAAAGATGCTTATATTTAAGTTATCGAGCTAACTGAACAAGAAATTATTTACAAATAGTTAGTTATAAAACAGCTTACCTTAAGGAAGAATATGTCAGCACATTGCATGCATGGGTAAAAATATGGGCCGCTGTCAACTCATCTTGCTCCGACCAACCCATAATTTGGCAGCACCTTAAATTACTGTTTTAAAAAGTCTTTACAAATTAACATGAGACACACGTGCCAGAAACTAGTTATACAATAAATATGTGGGAGGACAACTGTTAAATTGCACAATAAATAGAGAGATCAAAATTATGATTTCAAATATTGTGATTGAATATTAGTGATTTTTCTTTATTGAGTTTTATATCAAAGATTTTAAAAATATATGTATGAGTAGACATGAGCAGAATATTGGCGTTTTATTTAAGCCAGCAAAAGCGTCATAATGAGTTTGAATTATCACAACTATCTCTCTTGGCTTTAGTGAAATGAAAGAATGAGACTTTAAGAATGATTGAAATAGAACAAGTAAATGGTTGAAGCCCAAGAAGAATTTTTGAGCAATTTTTATTTTGAATTCGCTCAGTTTGTACTGTGAAAAAAAAAATGGTCAAAGTTAAGTACAAACGAAATGAATCATCTAAGCTAGTAATTTAATTCTTAAAATCAATTTGATTGTAAATATCAAATCTCATATCCTTACACGCCACATCAAAACTCGTTATAATCCAGAAACTTTGTTAATGTATGCTCTTGTTACTCATCTTTTATAATTTTGAAACCAAGTTGATAAATACTAACTAGTGTTACGAAATATGCTACGTCCTTGAAACTTGATTACTACCTTATAACAACTCAATTTTTTAACCTAATTCTATTCTTCAACACCATATAATGTAAAATTTTCCTCTGTTTTAATATAGGTATCATATAGTAATAAATAAAGGTAAGATTTTCCGTGATGGACCCCAATACTCGCTATAACGGACCTTTCACAATCTGACACTATTTGACCGTTACAAATTATAATTTTTAAAAATGATTCAAATTTGGCCCACATTATTGCCACTCCAACTTTTGCTTTGAGCAGATACCCAATGTTCTCCTTTGTTTTATTTTGAAAGTAGAATCCGGAGTGAGAGTAGTAACAAAAGGATTGCTATTATCACTCTTCATAAAACTCACTCCCTCGCTTTACTGTCAACCGTCAATTTCTCTCAAATCAACGGCCTATGTTTATCCCCCCAAAATCATACACAATCTTCTTCTTTCCCTCTCTCCCAACTTCTCATTTCTTCTGTTTGCTCAATTTTAGCTTCCATTCCTCAATTTTCAATCAATAATCTTGAAGTTTCTTAGTAAAAATCTCAGCTTTTTAACAACCCAAACAGTTTTAGCTAGTAAATTACTTGGAATCAGCAAGAGCATGTTTGGAATAGGAAGGTTTTATTCATAAAATGCCAGTTTCCACAAGATCTCAGATTACTGACTCTCAGGTAAAAAATGATCAAAGAATTAGGCCAAGAACAGATCAAGAAGATTCCCAAATGTCTAGAAATATGAGAAATCCACACCATGGTTTGAAAGAGAAGATGAAAGCACTTACCCTTTTATATGAACAGCAAAAACAAGCCGCTGCTGCTACCAAGAATCAATATTTCAAGCCTGAAGAGCCAAGATTTTCGACTCATCCTAGTGTAGACCTACTCAGCTCCGGTAGAAAAGTTGAGAAAGAGCAAAAACAATCAAACCCCATTATTAGTCATGTGATGAGGGAAAACACTATGCATAATAATTCAACTGTGACCAGAACTTACGTGGCGCCACGGCCGCCTTCAGTGGCGGAGGATGCGAAGGAGAATGTCGCGGTGGCGGCTGGAGGTGATAGAATAGTAGGGTTTTCTTACCCCAAAAGGGCGAATGCGTCCAGTACTGTTGCAAGAAAGCTTTCAATGGGAAGTTCAGCAATGCCACCGCATACAGAGCCTAAAGCAACTAGAAGGAACACTAGAGAGAATGTACAAGAGTTGAATACAATTTTTGAGAAAGTTAGCAGCAAGGGAAGTAGTGGTGATGATAGTGGTGGTAGTAGAATTCTTGTATTTGTAAGGCTAAGGCCAATTTCAAGAAAGGAGAGAGAAGCTGGAGCAGGTTGTTGTGTGAAAATTGTGGATGGAAGAGATGTTTATCTCACTGAGTTTGCTACTGATCTGAATGATTACCTTAGGCTAAAGAGGCTCAGGGGTCGCCATTTCACTTTTGATGCCTCCTTTGCTGATACCGCTACTCAGCATGATGTTTATTCCACGACGTGAGTTCGAAAATCTTAACAAGCTTTTTTTTGTTAATTCCATGATCCATTGATCAAGAAAAAATTTGAACAATTGTCAAATTTATCAGTACTATGATTAATTTAGTCGCAGTAACTTGATAGTTTGTGCCAGCTGTGTCATTTCTAGTATCTTTTCTAGGTGTTTGTTTAAGGCATCTCACTTATGTAGGCATCTTTTTAGTATCATTTCTAGCATTATAGAGATGGCATTTGTTTAAGGCTTATGACTTTCTGTAGTCTTTCTTGAGCAAAAAGCAGTTTTTTCTTGCAATAGGAGTACATTGTCTGTCTAGCAGATTTTACTAGTTGTAACTTTTGGTAGGCTAAGTACTCTCATATTAAGGCTTTTTACACTGAACTATTGCAATAAAATGGATTTAAATAGAGAGCGGAATGAATATAGATTATTCACATATCAGACCCCAATTGATTTGGTAATGAGTCATAGGGATTGATTCATTCAACATAGTGAAAAAGTAGACATCATCAAAATAGTCAAAGCTTGACAGATTCTGAGATTTAATAGCTTCTTTGGTGAGAAGGGATTTTCTTTTCTTTTATTTTCTTGGGATCAATCTTTTGCTATCAGAGGTAAGACTCTTAACTCCTCTTCATTGATAAAATGTAGATAAAACTGAACACTTGGAATCTTGTATTTTCCAGAACAGCAGAGCTTGTGGAAGCAGTTTTGCAGGGAAGGAATGGTTCTGTGTTTTGCTATGGTGCCACAGGTGCAGGAAAGACATACACAATGCTCGGTACCATTGAGAACCCAGGGGTAATGGTATTAGCAATAAAGGATCTCTTTAGCAAGATAAGGCAAAGGAGCTTTGATGGGAATCATGTGGTTCACCTTTCCTATCTAGAGGTCTACAATGAAACTGTAAGAGATTTGCTGTCTCCGGGAAGGCCTCTGGTCTTAAGAGAAGATAAACAGGTCCGTGCTTATTTTTAAAGAATGATCATCCTCACAAACATTAGTGTTTCCCCTTTGTTTCTGAAATGGTAAACTGCATACTGCTCGATATGTACTCCCTTTGATTGTGCACCTTTTATAATTGTCGAGTAGTAGTTGTAGTAGTTCTCCACCAGATTTTCTGAGAGACATTTTTTGAAATGTTGATTCTTCAACATATATAGAAGATAAAAAATTAGCAAAAGGATGATGAGATTTTCTCGCTGCTTATAATGCAGGGGATAGTGGCAGCAGGGCTAACTCAGTATAGAGCATACTCCACAGATGAAGTATGTATCCTAGTTTTCTTTTAGATTGGTCATAGTAGAGTATTAGTTGCTGGATCAAAGTAGTTGACCTGTATTTCTTTTATGAGAACAGGTAATGGCATTGCTCCAACAAGGAAACCGAAACAGAACCACAGAGCCCACCCGGGTCAATGAGACGTCGTCACGCTCTCATGCTATTCTTCAGGTCACTGCAATTTTCGCATATTATTAAATCATGCGCCACAGCCATTTTTTGACTTTTTAATGAATATTTTATTCAACACAGGTTGCGCTTGAATACCGTGTCAAAGATAGTTCAAATAACATTGTAAACCGAGTTGGAAAGCTGTCACTTATTGACCTTGCTGGATCAGAAAGAGCTCTAGCTACTGATCAGAGAACCTTGAGGTCACTTGAAGGTGCTAATATAAATAAGTCACTTCTCGCACTGAGCAGCTGCATCAATGCCCTTGTTGAGGGAAAAAAACACATTCCTTATCGAAATTCTAAGCTCACTCAACTGCTCAAGGACTCACTGGGTGGTGCTTGCAACACTGTGATGATTGCCAATATTAGCCCAAGTAGTCATTCATTTAGTGAGACCCAAAATACACTGCACTGGGCTGACCGAGCGAAAGAGATCCGAACAAAGGTTAGAGCATTCAAAACTACTCCTCTGCAAGATTGTTTTGCAGCCTGGTTCTCATAATAAGTAAAGTGCTCTTGGTGACAAGTGAGGCTTGCTCAGTTGGTAAAGCACCTCCACCTACGACCGTCGGGTCCCGAGTTCGAGTCACGCTGGAGGGGAAGTGTGGAAACACTATTGATACTCCTAAATTGGGAGGGATTTTAAAAAAAAAAAAAAGGAAAGTGCTCTTAGTGGCCATCATGATATTTTGCCTTCACTATGCAACATCTAGTTTGGAATTAAGGCGTGATTGATTTTTTTTAAATTAATTAATTTATTTATTTATTTGAGAAGATATTAAGGTGTGATTGATTGCTTTATCATTCATTGTTTACCGCCTCTAATGCAATTTATCATTTTAGAAGTTACTAGACACTAAATCCCTGGCCCTTTGAGGTCGTACTAACTTTCTGCAGCTTACTATGTACTCTAATACATTGCAGTGTGTGTAATGCTACTTATCTTCATGCAATATCATGAGTTTTTTTTTTTTTTAAAAACGAATATTGTGTTTCTGGAAGTTATTTCTTACTCCAAATTTTTCACAGGCGGCGCAGCCTATAATGACATGCTGTTGACACATATACATTAGTTGTGAAGCATCTATAATTTTAAGTATTTAGGGATTTGTTACTGTCCTAATATCTCCTTCTAACAATTGCAGGCTTATGATGCGCATGAGGAAATACAAGTGCCTGATTCTGGAACAGATCAGGCCAAGTTATTGCTTGAGCTGCAAAAAGAGAATCGCGAATTGAGAATGCGTTTGGCTCGTCAGCAGCAAAAACTGATTACAATCCAGAAGGAAAATTTGGCTGAAAACTGTTCCCCTAGCCCATCTACAGTTTCCTCTATCTTATCACCAGCACCGTCTTCTGCTCAGCTAAATGAAAGACGAAAAGCAAGACCCTCTTTCTTTGGTGGAAATTGTTTTACCCCCGAATCCAAGAGAAGAGGTCCAGATGAGTCCGTTAGAGATCTTAAAAAGGCAGTTAAGGGATTGGAGGCAGAAATTGAGAGACTGAAAAAGGATCACGCATTGGAGATAAAGCAGAAAGATGATACAATCTGTGAGCTGTCACGAAAGAGTGCAAAGCCAGCAGGAGGGGCACAAGTGGGTGTAAAAAGGATCATCACAAGGGCAAGCTTGCGGCCTAAGGAAGCACGTGATGCTGATTTGAAGAGTCCAAGTCATCGTTTTCAGTCTCCAGCTCCCACAGCTAAAAAGCGCAGCTTCTGGGATATAACAACAGCTAATAGCCCATCAGTTGTCACTTTAAATGGAAGAAAGACCAGAAGCCATGTTAACACCGAAACAACAGCTGCTCCATCCATGCTTCTCCAGGTACATATGATACCTTCTACATTCATTTCACATGGCATTTATTTCATCGAGTTTTTGGTTATCCATGCTTCTTTAGGTATATTTTCATATCTTCTAGACGTCTACATTCATTTCACATGGCCATATTAGTTCATCAACTCGAGTTATGTGTTAGATTGTTAGATATAGACTCTTTTAAGTAAACAGCTGAACAATGATCCATAGACTTTAATTTTTGAGCTCATCAACTCGAGTTATGTGTTAGATATAGACTCTTTTAAGTAAACAGCTGAACAATGATCCATAGACTTTAATTTTTGAGCTTAAAGAAAAGGTTACATATTTCTTGAAAATCCCCAGCATCATACTACAACAACAATAATACAACTACCCCTCAATCTGAAGCAAGTGAGGTTGGCCATATGAATCCTCACAGTCCATGTCCCTACATTTTAAGCCCGTCTCAGTGCAATATTATAAATACATTAGTCTCTCTTGCACTAGTAGTTAATCTGCATGTTCTATTGGCACAAGAACCAACATCATAATCATGCTTTAAAGTGTACCTTTGAGTTTCTATCTTCTGCAAACTGATGCAGCTTGCATATCCATGTTTCTGGTTTGTGTTCATGTTTGGGCCACATGTCTTCAATTGCACCACTCAGCCAGGGTTTGCTCGCCAGAATGTAAAGCATTAAAGAAGGCAGATCACTTGGCAATTTCAATCAAACTACATCTTTCACGCGGAGCAAGGCAATGGAGGAGGCATTCACTTTGTATTTGACAGCAGACACTTGTATCTAACAGTGATTATATCTCTAGTTGTTTGTGTCTTTTTTCTCTCTTTTTCTTTCAGATTGCGTGGGCTATTGAAGTCATGCTATTAATATTATTTCATTGTTTCGTCTTTTATGAAATACTTGAAGTGCATTTGCTTCAAATTTCCGTCTTTTTCATTTTTCTGTGAATTGTGTGTTTTTCCAAGTCCACCCAAATTAGAGGCTGACCATGTCTTGACTCTTGACAGATGTCTTATAAACTTGACCAATGGCACCACCTAACATACTTTGGACTAGCTCTGAGTGATCTTAGAAGGGAGTTTTAGTGTTGGAATAATTTAACAAAAAACAAAAAAAGATTTTGTGAAGATATTGAACATGGATCTTGCTGTTGAATGAAGAATTTTCTTAGAGGGCCCTGTCTATCAAACTTAACTCGAAGTGAATTGTGATTTGGACACAAAACAAATTACTCAGAATATTTTAAGCTTGCCATCAACCTATTACTTTTGAAGCTCACATAGGCGGAGTACGAAATACCACAAATTATTCTTCACTTTTAAGTTGGAGAGCAGTGGTCTTTAATTTTGCAGCAGCTAACTAACCACGGTTACCTACTAAAATTTACTACTATAAGTTTGTAAAGGTAATAAAAGAGAACCTATTTTCAGAATTTTTGGCAATGATCCGACCGAAATGGTAAGCTGCCTACTATTGTTCAATGGTCCACAATCAATTGCTTTTGATGTGTGCTTACCAACCAACTTGCAGTTAATTTAACTCCTCATGTTTCCGTATTTCCTTTTTAACGTTGAAATATTACTTACCAAGTCTACAACCAGTTAAAGAGAGGGAAAAAAATGGTTATTGTCAAAGAACAATAATAAGATTAACAGGAATTAAAACTTAGAAAGTTATCCAGCTAATATACCAGGTGTAAGCCTAATTAGGAGTTGGTTAACCCATTGACATCATTATGAATGATGTTTCCTCTTTCATCCTTTTTTTTTAATAACGTTGTGCTTGGATGGGACACAATGTGATTATTTTACCATTACCTACTTCTCTCATAAGGATGACGTGTATTAGGCAATTCTGACAGTAAAATTTAGTCAGATGAAAAGAAATAACCAAATATTTTTTTGTTTGTGGTGAGATTTGAATTCTAGTCACCTGGTCCGACGTTATTTTTTTTTCCCCTTTTAAACCTAAATTCTTGAATGATCTTTTATCAACTGTCCTAAAACCCTTTTGGCCCTACATGGCACACTTATTTTTGGTGTGAAGGCAAAAAAAAAGGAAATGTTTAAACAGTATGGTGCATAAGCACCAAAAAAGCAATTTTTTAACAAGCAATGACCCAAATGAATAAAAGTAAAATGCACTGTACATTTTCCTAATTATTGAAGAATTAGTAGCAGGCTGAAAATAATCATAACATACCCAAAATACCTACTTGGTGGGGAAAGAGGGATAAAATGATGTTTATGCCCCACTCCAAACTGTGTCATATCTTGCTAGGACCTCTGAAATCCTTGAGATTTTCATTTTTGTTAGTATTTTTCTCCCTTATATATATCAAATTGCAACAGAATATGCAAATTATTACACATGATTAGATGGGACAGACTACAAAAAATAGAATTCCTCAGCAATTTTTGATCATATCCTCCTTAAAAATTGATTTGATTAAGTAAAAGCAGCACGCCAGCAACCAAAAGATTTATGTGAATCAAACAACNAAAATAATCATTGCATACTGTAAACAAACTTTTGTTTGAATGAATATATCTTTTCTCCTCGTAATTAAGTTCTAATAGCATCATATATTACCTACCCCTTAGTTACATTACGAGGAGAGTCACGATAAAGTTGTCTATGTATGATTTATCGTTCACGAGTTTGAGCCGTGGAAACGGTCACTAATGATTGCATTAAGGAAGATTGTCTATATTACACCCCTTGGGGTATGCCCTTCCCCGAATCCTAATGCGTGATGCTTTGTGCACCGCTCTGCCCCTTTAGTTATATGATATTAACCTTCTCTTTCAAATGAATCTTGGCGCAACAATTGAGTTGTCTTGTTGTGACCAAAAGTCACGGAATCGAGTTGCGAAAATAGTTTCTCGCATAAATACAAAATAATTTTCATACATATACCTAATGTAATTTCGGTTCTTTCCCAAATTCCACGCATAGTAAGAGTTCAGTGTATCGTGCTACCTTTTTTAACCTTCTTTATTGAGCTCCTAAACACTGAGGGACGGTTTAGATTCTATGCTCTTCTTTTGTCAAGATTTTGATCTAATCCTTATTTATTAGATGTCTGTCAATAAAAGATACAAAAATCTGGAATTTTTTTTGAAACTTCTACTGGTGTAAAGGGAAAGCTAAGTTCGGAAGCTGAGTAACATGTCAGTCAGTGAAGGAAGTTTGAGTTGATTTTTGCTTTTGAGGACTTCTATGATTGAGCGTTAGTAGTAGTAGTTTAACTTCTTGGGATTCTCATGTTACTTTGATCAAGTCCAGACCAAAGATATGCACCAAAACCAATGATTGGAACATGCAATTTTTATACCCTTTTGATCAGATACAGAAAATTATGGAGTTCAAAATTATGAGGTATTTTATCAAGCTAGTTGCCAGGAAAAGGAACCCAACAAATCTTTAAAGTTTTGAGGAAAAAAGCAGTCAACAAAAGAAGGAAAAAGAAAAACAAAGCCCCTATTACAGTCTCTCATCTGCTGGGAATAACTTTTGTTATCACAATTCAAAAAAAAAATGAAGAAGAAGTTAGTAAAGAGATGATTGTGGTAAAAAATTCAAGAACTTATTTAGTCATTAGAACTTCCAGAATCCAAATCCAAGGGGTGTGATACAGACAAGACAACCTACATCTAATGCAAACAGTAGTGGTTGCTTCCACGACTCGAACACATGACCTAAAAATCACGCTCAAACAACTTTATCGATGTTCCAAAACTCCCCTTCGCCGTGCCACAAAGCAATGAAAACAATTACTATAGCAAAATGCCAACTTTGATGGATACAAGAACAAATATTGAGCCAAAATGTCATGGCATCAACAGAGAATTAGAAGACAAAAAGAATAAATATTTGTCTTATCTGATCATACGGGGATATTATGCCAGTGAACCTGCTAATATATTTCAGTAATATAAGTAACATATATTTCCATTCCACCCAAGAAAGTGAAAAATACAGTAACCCAGTTTCCATTCTCCAACCAGATTTTGTTGTCCAAATAAAAGACAAAAAGAAAATAAAAAACATAGAACATTGCTAAACCCCCATAACCATGGCTCAAGAAAAGATTATATTCAGTTGAACAGGACTTAATCTAAGATTCTAATAAGTGGTTAAGACCTTAAACTCTAAGCAAGTAGATGCTAAGTTCAGGAGCTCCATTACTATCAGGATTCATCATGTAAAATGCCTCAGAATCTCTAGACCCAATAACTCTCTCAAACTTAGCCCTCATATACATAATCTCCCCTGAATCAGCACTCTCTTCTCCACCATTCCCTGGCAAAACACCAGCACCCATTGATATTGGCTCCACTGCTTTTAGAATTTGCATTTCCTTTGGCCCACATTCCCTTCTGTTTGCAAAACCACATTTTTTTCCATTGCAGTAAGTTCTCCATATAGGCTCATCTGTAAGTCTAGTCGCTTTCTTCTCTTCCTCTTTGTCACATTCCAATGCAATTCGAACTAACCCTGACGCCATTTCTCGGACTAATCCACTTATAGGAGTGGCTAACTCAACTAAGAAAGCTGGTTGTGAAGTGGAATCTTTTTGAAATGCAAAATGTACATGTCCACGCTTGTGACCAAAAAGGGTACCTACAACTCTGGTTCCAAGGCCTTGTTGGAAGTTTGTTCTATTTCGTCCGAATGAAGTTAGAACAGATTTTAGCCTGGCCACTGCTATAGTTTGCAGCTTCCTCCTTGTTGCTGAAGCTGAAGCTGATTCTTGTTTTAACTGGTTGTCCTCTGTCTTGTTTTCATGTATAGCGTTCAAAGTAGAAGACTTTATATTCTCTGTTTTCCCTTCTTCATTTCTGTTGATGTCTGAGGAGGGTTTTGGAGATGGATCTTTTAGTGCTACTTCTTCTTCTTCTTCTTCATTGCTGACTTTAGCTGTCCAGTGAAACTGCCTCTTAGAAGACAAGTCTTGGAAACTCTTTGCCATGATTGTCTTCATCTGAGAAAAGAAAAATCAAGAGTAGGCTGCACCTTTAAAGTGGAGAGTGAGGGCTGAGGAGAGGTAGAAAGATTCTGGTTTCTTCTTTATTAAATGGATTTCCTTTTTCTTTTTCTAATTTGTTTTCCCTTCTACTACTTTGTTCGAGCAAATAAGAATCTGACACAAGCGTCCCCACATACTGTCGTGGGAATTGGGACTTAGGAGTGTCAAAACAATAGGGAAAGGGCAGAAGGCTTGAGGAGGGTGTGGGGAGAGAAAGGTAAATGTTTTGAAATAAAGAAAGGAATCTAAGGGAGACATAAGATGTGTTATTTCACTTTCTTGTGGGGTATGGTGAGAAAGAAGTAGCTTGACTGGCTCTTTTTGACCTGAACAAGAACAATGTTTAAAAAAAAGGAGGTGGTCACAAAAATCACAGTGAAAGAGAGAACCAAAGAAACATCACTATTTGCAGTAGACATCCTCCCAACACAACGTTCTGCTTCATGTCTTGTTTCGTATGATAAACCTGCACCCCATATCTAAAAGGAAACAGACCGTGATGATGTTTGCCTCAGCTCAGCAATCACTTAGATTCTCATACCATACAAAAAACATGAAATATTATGCTTCGACTCAAAACACAGTAACCTGCGATACGCAGTGCATCAAAGCTGACAATCTGATCAGGATTTACTGTTCCTTCATCCTCTTTCCTTTTGTTTTTTAGATATCACCAGGCCAACCTCCAGAACTGATATTGTGGGCCTGAATGAAATGGGAAAACAGAGGCATGTTTATTTTCATTTCAGTGTTTAATTTCTTTTAGTTTCCATCTCCAAGAGTCCAAGGTAAGGGAAAAGACTTGCGAGTTGCGACCCAGCAGACAAAGAAGTGTGTGAAAACTATAGAAGATTAAGATTCAAATGCCAGTAAAAACGAAGACAGTTAGGTATAAAGGTGGATCAAAACGAATACCAATTAGGCAACTTACAAGGACTGTAACCGTGAGCACTAAGTTGAGTTGTAAAGCCACTACAGCAATGACCACTTAAGTGTATAGCGACCATCACATTCATCATTCGTCGTACAATTTTTATTAGGTAAAAGTAATAAAGATGCAAACCCGGACAATGGTGTCCTGGTGGGGGCTGAGTGGTAGTGTGAAGAGCCAACTGATGACAAAGAGCACTAGCAATTTCCACTCTGACTAATATAAATATACTAAAAGTACTTGTTGAGTGTAGAGGACATTCTAAAGCAAATTCACTAATTACAGAACATATGGACATAATTAAAAGTGTACAAATTGAGCTCGAGTCCACAAGCCAGCGCAGGTGCCAGGAGCTTTTTGTACATGATAGAAGAGAAACCACCTCTAAAACGACTGAAAGATGCTTGCCTACAGGAAAAAAAAAAAGGTCCTAAAGTTAGCTATCCAATCTTTGATCTGCTTCTGAGTCTTGCTGTTTGGGCGGAGCTGTAACAACTCCATTCATCCTAGCACGTGCTTCAGCAAACATCCTCTGTTGCGCAGCCAACGCTTCTTCTTCAGTCATTTCAGCTACATTGCTACACTTCCCAGCTCTCACAGTATCCTGTGGAAGAAACAAAAAGCAAAGGGCAATTGTCAATGAAAATCTTTTCACCATTAAATCATTTCACATGGTTGCAAAAATTGTCGGATTCAAAATAACTGTCGGTTAGCAGACGATTGGCTAAATTCTCTAGCCATATGCAGAGGTTTAGGGATCAAAGGTGAGGCGAAAAAAAGAGGAATGAATATAACACTTTGTGACGCATCCAAGAAAGGTCGGATACTTCCTTTCAACAGCAGAAGGATGTATTAAAACGTCCTAATTTTAGGCCACTCATAGATTCCAACTCATGTAAAAAGACAGAAATGAGCCCTTACGTACCACAGTCTCCAGCTTGTGTTGTTCATATGCGGCAAAAACTTCTTCAATATACTCCCCAAAACCAAGAACCTGAAAGACAAAAGTTGTTCATAATTCCAAGGAAACGGAAGAATCCAACAAATTTTTACAGGTTAACATTTTAAAATAACATAAAGGTAAACTATTTTAATTAAAGTTTCTTGCTATTCAACACTAATAATTGAAGAAGTATTTGTACCACACTTAAAAGTTAAAACTGGGGGTTGCTCTGATGGTAAGCAACCTCCACATCCAACCAAGAGGTTGTGAGTTCAAGTCACACCAAGAGCAAGGTGGTGAGTTCTTGGAGGGAAGGATGCCGAGGGTCTATTGGAAACAGCCTCTCTACCTCATGGTAGGGGTAAGGTCTGCGTACACACTACCCTCCCCAGACCCCACTAGTTGGATTATACTGGGTTGTTGTTGTTGTTGTTAAAAGTTAAAACTGGTAAATGGGTTTCACAGTGAAATGTTGTTCCCAGAGACCAAAAGAAACTAGAATGTGATTTCTGCAATTGATGTGGCCTAACATCATGTCGGGGGAGAAACAAACTAGCAAACCCAAACATGAAAGTAATTAACAACATTTGCATTTCATTATCCTTATTGGCATTGTGCAACTTCGTGAGCTAGGATGAGAAGTAGATTTGAACTTCTTTAAATCACCTTCAAATGAACTCATGCTAAGAGTGATTATAGGTGAAAAAGACAGAGAAATGCAAACAGAGCAAGATGAAGATGATGACCATAATAGAGAAACTGCAGGATCAAGAAGTACCTCTAAAGCCTTGAGTACATGCTCTGGTGCAATTGTTCGTTTATCTTCTCTATTACAAACTTCATTTGATTCTGATGAGATAAGATTGATGAACTCTGCACAATAACAATGAAAGGCAGGACACCATGCAAATTAAAAATAGAACCACATTAAGAAAATTCGACAATATATGAAGTCAAGCAATGACCTTTTTTTAGGGAATGTAAAGAGATGATATTATATAATCTAGTAGAAGGAAAGAAGATAGGAGAAACTTCAGTGCTGTTCAAATAGCAAACAAACATCACCAACCAAAACATTAACAGAAATATGCTTATCAAATACATCAAAGTAAGTAAACAAAAGCAGTATAACAAAACAAATTATTACATTGCATTTCTATCAACCACATCCCAATAGACCTTGAATGAACAAAAAGATTATGGAATAGGTTGTCTTATAAAAAAGGATTAAGGAATAGGTATCAAGTTTCATTAGAACTCTCTCTTTTCGAGTTACCAGGAGTAATCTACGGAATACAACTTAAGATGAGTTAAGAAGAACTTGAATGCCTTTTTAGTTACTAGTACTATACAACTATGTCCTAAACTTATGCTTATCACATCCCCTGTCTTGTGTCTCAAAACACTAAATCAGCAGAGTGACAACCAAGAGCTAACAAACAACTAGAGCAAAAGTTTCCTAGTCAGCCGTTGTCCTCCAATGCAAATACAGATTATTAATTATTCCCCCAACTATTCTAGAGAGGCATAGATGCTATTAAAAGCAAACGCTACTGACAACAGCTTAGCACACTAACATAACGTTAAACTATACTCAAAAATTATATCAGACAACATTCAAATCAACTCACCTACACAACATTCAATCAAAAGATCCTGAGCATCTCGAGCAACACGGACATCAGGAGGCAACATCTCTTTAATAATCTTTGTCATAGTTGCTGAGAATAGAAAATAGTACTATCAGTACAATATTCAGCAAATCAAACAGATAAGTAAGCCATCAGGCAAACTCACATATTTATCAAATAAAAAGAACCACGTGATTTAAACAAAAAAAATTCAGGGCATAAGGTGAGACCAGAAGCAACAAAAAAAATCAATATTACCACTGTTTGGCTTTAGCAACTGAAATCATCAATCTCATTATCTAATAAATTACAGATTTTTTTTCAGAAGCAGTTAGTATCACTTAAGTCACCCACAAGTCAATTTTTACCCTCTTTGAAAATATTTCACAAAATTCCCTTTCCCAGCAGGGGAGGAGCTAAAGGGAGGCAAGACAGTTCAATTGAACCCCCTTCCAGAAAATTGTAGTGTGAAAAAACCCAAAAACAATTTTTTTTGTTCCATATAAACTGTTTCCCTTTGACCCGAGGGAAGATTCTAGTGTAGTGGTAAAGGGCTTAAGGGGGTTCAAAAATTGCTATAGGTCACAGGTTCATATCTGAGGTATGACACTTCAGTAATTTTTTTTGAAACCCTTGTATGAATTTCTGGCTCCGCCAATATGATTCAAGCCTTGTAAAATTGCTAGGATGGCTTTTGGTAACCCTAATCCCTTCTCCAAGAGAAATTAATATCACTCTCTGCTTACTCCCTATTCATCCGCTCAAAATCTCGTAATATTAGGATTTAACACCAACCAAACAGGGAAAACATGATAATTCACCAAAAAAACCATCAAAAAACATAATCACAAGAGCTACAAAAACAGAGAAATATATATCATTCTATGAATATATACCAGACATATTCATAGATAACATAGAGAAGGAAAAGGAAAACCTTTGGGAAGTGAAGCATCCTCCTTCGTTTTACCAACGATATCCATCGGATCCATTTTAACCCTTCAAAACCAAATCAAAATCTCGAATTTAATACCAAATTCACAAATTTTTAGAAATAAACGAAATCGACAACAGCTGATACCTGAAACCAAATATGAAACAATTATTTTTACCTTACAAGGAGACACTGCGAAACTGGCAGATTGACGAGAAAATTGAGCAGCAAATCGGCCGATTGGAAGAAATCGGAAAGGGATGGAAGTAGGTGATCGGAGTCGCTGACGGTGGTGGTTCATGGTGGATATAGAGAGAAGGATGTGTCCGCAGACGACTAGGGCAAAGCGCATTCAACGAGGGATTCTCCACGCGCGAAGCGGGAGGTGTCGTGTATAATCCACGGGTCCCATTATTCTTGTGGATGCTAAATGGGGCGTGGGACGCACGCATGAGCGAAGTGTGTGGGATAGCATGTGACGTATGTTGCTTATATAGTTTTCAGCAAAACGAAAAAAGGTCGGGTGGATGGAGTTAGTGGTTGCCAATGAAAGGGAGAGGAGACGAGGAGAAAGTTTCCGACTCTGCTGGATCTGCCAATTATGTGATGCCAACCCCATTTCGCTCAATATGGGCCTTCTGTAGTTGGGCTCGGGGCTCCATTTTGGAATAGAATCATTACACAAATAGTTGGACGAATTTACTGTTTACATTTTTTAACTGATATATTTAGTGGGCGTTTGGACATAAGAATTGTAAAATTCTAAAATAGGGGGAAAAAAAATTTCTAAGTGAAAATAATATTTGAAATTTAGAGTTGTGTTTGGACATGAATATAATTTTGGGTTGTTTTTGAAGTTTTGTGAGTGATTTGAGTGAAAATTTTGAAAAATAACATTTTGGAGTTTATCAAATTTTTAAAAAATTTCAAAATGCATCTTCAAGTGAAAATTGAAAATTTTATGAACAAACACTGATTTTAAAAAAAAAAAAAAAAAATTGGAAAAAAAAAAATTTCTTATGTCCAAACGAGTTCTTAGATTATACACTAATTATATACTCCTGCTTTTTAGTTTAAGTGGCTAAATGATTGGCTATCTAAATTAATTCTTCTTTCAAATCTGTCATTTCGGCTAAGACCTTTTTGGCTTGAGAAAATGATCAAAATGGTCTTTAATATATAGAGTTTGGACTACTTTGGTCCTTGATATATATTCTTAACTTAAATAGTCTTCAACGTATGTGAAAAGTGACCATTTTTAGTCCTAAAACACACAAAAATAGAGAAAGTGAACATTTTTAGTCCTAAAACACACAAAAATAGAGAAGCTTTTGCCTCTTTCAAGATCGATCGAAAACTAGTTGTAATAAGTTTCTAGCTTTATTCCACCACTAGGTCAATTGCATAAGTTAAATGTATGATTAAAACGTAGATTTAGTTTCAAAGTATACATTACACAACCTATTTGAGTGCCACATATTTAATTAATTAAATATTTGCTCTACGCTGAACAAGTTCCATCGATAAAAGTTTGTGATAAAAAAAACTAGCTTCATTTTTACTAATTATATTAATAAGTCTTTACTGGAAAAGTACTTGTCGAAATGTTAATACTGCAAAGTGTTAAGTTTTACATATGCAGCCTGACAATCATAAATAAAGTTTGTTCAAATAAGAAAAATATTTATACTTTCTGCTTGTATATTTATTTTTAATAGCTAAATATGATAGTGAATAAGGAATCAAACATAATAAACTTAGAGTATTCGTTTAATTAGTGTTTTAGAAGATGTTTCGTTCTAGTTTATATATTCATTTAAAGATTCTATTATGTCGCACATAATAAGTTTTATTTTTAAATAATTATGTTATACTATTTTCATTTTCATTCCTAGGATTATTAGGAACTAGAATATTATTTTTATAACTCAACAGCAACAACAACAAAAAAAACAGTAGTTTCTCACAAGTGGGGTATGAGGAGGGTAAAATGTACGCAGTCATACCCCTACCCCTAAAAGGACAGAGATGCTGTTTCCGATAGATCCACGGCTAGAGAACGACCGAAAAAGAAAAGGTAATTTCAACCAGAAAATCAGTTTTACAACTCAAGTATGTTTTATCATAGTCATGCTATAGGCATTTTTACATCTTTTACTTTGTGAAGTTAAATAAAATATTATTTTGTATGGTTCGTGCACATAATGGTATATTTATAATATATATTATTTTTCTATTAATTTTATAATTTTTGGATTTTTTTTATAAGTTTACTGCATTTTTATTTATATATTTATCTTATTAATTTATAATATATTAAAATCAAAATATCCATGGAGTTTAGCCCTGCGTCACAAGGCTTAGGTCTCGTCGTCTCGCCACATACCCACACCTTTTAAAACACTACATTTAATATGTTTTTGCCTTGACAATAAATTTTGTAAGTATGTCAACAGAGAAACAATTTTTGCCCACTTTGTGCATTTCTTATTAGTATCAAAATTGTATTACATGTTGATGGATAATAGATTTTAGAATTAGAAATGCCTTCAATTGTGAACTAGCTTTCATATAACTGGCATAAAATTATTAACCTTTTTGTGAATATGTACCAACAAAATTGGTGGCACATCTTAATTCAAATGTAATTGATTGGTGAATTTATAAATGCAACATCTGTTATATTATCTAGATCACCAACATTTGCATTTGTATAATTTATTATCACAATTGTTTAATCTATATTATTGGTATTTGCCTATATAACATATTATTTTATATTCATGGAGTAAAAATAAGGCAATAGACTATAATGAAATATAACTCTCATTAAAGAATTTCAAATGCTATTGGTCAATAAATCTAACTAATTAAAGAAAATAATAATAAAATGTTAAAAAACTACTCATATCATCAATTTGCTAGTGATAATCAAAATTCAAAATTTCATCTACAATACACGTAATATTAAACAACAGTCATTTAGAAATATCCATAGCATATTTAACAAATTCATCAAATAACTTTTTCATATATATTTGAATGATCGTAAGAATATAATTTTAAATAAAATATGTTATAATATGAACTATAGACAAATCACTTAAGGTGAAAAAAGTATTAATTTATTGCCATAAAATATCAAAATGTGTTTCTTGTATTAGAGTATGAGGATACAAAAAGGACTACATAGGGTGATTGTCGATTATTAAAGAGAGAAGCATTTTGTGCTCGGTAGAAGAGGGGAAACCCCAATTAAAATACACCAAACGTATAAAAGGTTGATTAACAATTCAGAAAGCCATATCCTATTTCCAAATTTGTTTGTACTAGTAGAGATTATAAAAGACCAGTCAAGTAATGTGACAGAACCGAACCGCCCGAGGCCCTGAGCCCCGTAGTAGACTGTAGAATTCACGCCGTTGTCTGTATATCCGCACATCGGAGGCAAATTTCTTGAATCAATGGACGGCGACGAGGAAGATTTCGTATTCTACGGAACACCTATAGAACGAGAAGAAGATGTGACCAGCCGCAAGAAGAAGGCCGTCGCTGAGGCCTCTGGCCAGTTGCGAACCCTTGCCCCATGGAAACAAGAGGTACTCGATTTGATGGATTAATGAGTTTCAATTTTTTTCTGCTCGTTTCTTGTGTGAAATTACTTGAGTTCCAGTTTAGCAATGTAACCTCGTTTTTTATACATTGTGCAGCACCTTTTTTTTTGTGTGTGTGTGTGTGTGGGGGGGGNCATGGATTAATGAGTTTGGATTTTTTTTTTCTGCTCGTTTCTTGTGTGAAATTACTTGAGTTCCAGTGGACAATGTAACCTCCTTTTTTACACATTGCATAGCACCTTTTTTTGGGGGTTAAATATCACGCGTGTTGAGTTTAAGGTAGTTTTAATTGATAGTATAAGAAAGTTGATAATTTGTTTTAACGCTTTTGCCGAACCTAGGGTTGTTTGGTTCAATTGTGGGATAGACAAGGATATCCCATTGGATTAGCTACCCCACCTCTATATGGGATAGGTAATACCACCATTTTGGTATAAAATGTCTACGGATATTAACCAATACCCATAACCAAGCATGGGATAAATACAATCCCAAATTCTATGCCGCTATTAGTATCCTTATCGCGGTAACCAGACGACCTACTACTTTATTAATACCTGTATCCCATTTTATTTCCCATTCCCACTTTTGATTAAAATAGGTGCTTGATCAAAGTTTTTCATCCACAGAAGCTTTGTTGTTTATCTTCTTCCATCTGATTTTTTTACTTACTAGAGAAATTGATTTTCAGGTCACAGATGAAGAGGGACGGAGGAGATTTCATGGGGCATTTACTGGTGGCTTTTCCGCTGGATACTACAATACAGTTGGCTCTAAAGAGGGTAGAGTGTAATTTCCCATTTTATTGTTTGAGCTTCATTTCAGTGACTTTTGATAATTTTATTGGACCTACTAATGTAAGATTCTTTTTGAACCATTCATAACAATGTTGTAGGATGGACTCCGCAGTCATTTACGTCGTCCAGGAAAAACAGAGCTGAATTCAAACAACAGAGTCTCTTTAACTTCTTGGATGATGATGAGAAAGCTGTATGTTCTCTTTCTTGCATTTTCTTCATAGTTATAAACTTATAATAAGAATATAGAATGGTATATTATTTTGCTTTTGAGTTACACCTAGAAATTTCAATAAATATGCTGAAAATATATCAGCTTTTGGCTGGAAATGTGAGAGAGCGAGGGATGCTATGCTTACTCAAAAGATAATTTATTATCAGTTGACGTCCTTTTGCAAATACAAACTCCGTGTATTTACTTTGACAGAGAATTTTTGAGAGAATATACGTTTACTGGTTAATCACACGGTCTCCACCGTTGCCTTGGCAATGCTAGCTTTTACGGCTTCATGGTGCTCATTTTGTGAATTATCTGGAAGCTTAAAATGACATGTTTTTGAGTTGAGCTGGTACTGATCATCCGTTCATTATTGTTTCTGTTTCCCTAGAAGCTTACTCTAGTTTTACATCATAGGAAATGGAGGGTCGTCTGGGGACATCGATGCAGTATGATACATTTGGATTTACTGCTGCTGAAGTTGCTCGTAAACAAGCTGAGAAGGAGCAAAATCAGAGGTGTTCTATTATGTTTAGCTGCTTCTTATGTATAAAATTATTAGTCTGTTAGCTTAGACTGTTGTAATCTTAATATCCTCCTCATGAAGTGCAACCCTGTTTCTTGCAGTCTTGCTGCACAATTTTTACTGTTATTGAAAGGATTTATGTCCATTTTACATTAAGGCATGTTCTTTCGTCACTATATCATATATGCTTTGCATCTTCCTAAAAAGGTTCTTGTGATTATTAAATGACCGCATAATGGGTGAGATAGTCGCCTCCTTGATGTACATATATTATTCTCAGCAACAGATGTAGTCGACATTGCGAATGAATAGTTTTCTCGATGTACCAGGAGTATAGCTTCCCTTATTTGCTGCGTTTACCTATGCTGTCCGTGCCAGCCTACCCTATTTAACATGACTCAGTTAATTGTTGTGTTTAAACTTTTATTCTCTGTTTTTCGTTAGTGTTGGTTCCATCTTCACTCGAGTAGAACTAGATTGAAGGAACCTTTGATGTTTAAATTGCCTTCTTTTAGCTTTAAATTAATTACTCTTTTCCTTCATCTTCTTCTTTTTATACTTCTAAAATTTTGCTTGTACTGCAGGCCCTCTGCTATACCTGGACCAGTTCCGGACGAAGTGGTACTTCCAGCGACAGAGTCCATTGGTCTGATTCTATGTCCATTGAGAAGTACCTTTTGTTCTTGAAGAGAATAATTTCTCACTATGTTATTCTTATTTTTTGGGCAGGGCTCAAATTACTGCAGAAGATGGGATGGCGATGTGGTCGCTCAATTAAGGACTCACATACTGATTCCCTATATAGTATGTGTCTACATTTAAAACCCCTTTTCCCTATGTCATGCTTAGTCTGCTGAATACTTTTAATGTACGGAGCATTTCCTGGCATGCAATATTGGTCTCGGATGTAATTTAGCCATACATGCTTCAAATTGTTTATGTTTTTGTTTGGCTGGGTAAGATTGGGGAGTATTACAAATATTTTCCATATTTATATGTGTTATAGGGAGGTAATATCAAATATGAAGTGGAAAACCCAACTAGAAGATGGTATTCCTTTTGAATTCTGAAAATTCAATTTTCATAGCCTTAGTTGTGCTTTTGATTGAAGGGGAGCCTTGGCGTAGCTGATAAAGTTGTCTCCATGTGACCAGAAGGTCACGGGTTCAAGCCGTGGAAACAACCTCTTGCAGAAATGCAGGGTAAGACTGCATATTATAGACCCTTGTGGTCCGACCCTTCCCCGGACCCCGCGCATAGCGGGAGCTTAGTGCACCGGGCTGCCATTTTTTAGTTGTGCTTTTGAAAATTTCGGAATTTGAATGTAATTTCTGGTCTTTTTAGTGTGGTGCTCAGTCAAGTGAATAAATTTTTTATTTCTTAAGATTTTCTGCTCACTTTTTCATATAGAAAGCTTCAGTTTAAAGCCAATACCCACAAGGATATGATTATCTAAAGATTCATAACTTGAGGTTTTGGAACATTTGTGAATTTTGTTATGTACCGCTCCAGCAAAAACCACAATTGTTCTATGCATCTCTATTTTTGTGAGGATCCTTCAGAATTCCTTCCATTGTTAGTCAATGGAATTCAGTGAAAGTTTGTTCAACTAAGCTGACTGATTTTCGGGACCATGTTCTTGTCTGTCTGCTGATCTATCGCCCTCATTAGGGAGCAGTGGTGGTCAAAATGTGTATATGGTGATGTGGGTCGGTACTTTTTGATGTATGCCTGGTCGGTACCTTATTATCTCTTAGTATGAAGCTACAATTCTTGTCCTTGAAAGTTTAATCTAGTAGTTGAGTCCCTTGATGAGTTCAGTAGACAGTCCGACACTTAAATATACTAGACCAGTATTTATTGAGCTTTTTGAAAACAAGCGTGAAAAGAACTTTAGCAATGACTTAATTGGGCAGCTTTTAAGCTGCTCGAAGATAACTGTTAAGACTGGGAGCAAGCCATCATGAATTTCCACTAATTTTTGCAGAATGCTTTAACTAGTTGTTTGGCTCTGGTAGAACTTTAGTTTGATATTGAAAATTTGTATAGTCCAATCAGTTCTTGACATATTGTCAGAAGCAAACATATCGGAGTTGACAAATTGACCTTACTAGAGTACTTTTGCACTGGTTTAAGAAAGCTATTTAGACCGGAAGGAAGTGTGAACTTATTTTTTTTAATGACAATGGTGTCTGGGCCAACTTTAGCGCACCTTGACTATCCACCGGATACTTGCTACCTCTCACGAATACAAGTACCCAGTAGTTCTGCCCTCTAAAACTTGGGCTGATAGGAAGAAATCACCAAGTGACTTGATGTAGAGACCCCATGGTTCTCCTCCCAGTTCATTGACCACTAGGCCGCGGGTGCTAAGGAAGTGTGAACTTGTTTTACAAGTTTCATCAGAATTCCTTTTCCTTTGTTTCTAGAGAGTTATTTTAATGATGCCTAACATTTTTCATGTACATTTATGGTACATATTTGGTGTTGAAGAATACCTTCATAGAGAGTTGGGGTTACCGGTTAGCATCATAAAAATATTGGGGCTACCTGTTTGAGCTTTCATTGTAGGACAGTCAATTCTTGCCTTTGTTCTTGGCGTAATTTTTTGGGTGTAGTGTTTGATCATTGTTACCCAATAATTTTGAAGTTAAATATTTAATTCTCATGCTTTATGAACTGAGTAGATTACTTTATCAACAAAAAAAAAACTATGAGTGGATTTGTTGGAATATGTATATTCAGTAAACACGTCTCTCTCTTTTTGATCTGCAGATGCTAGGAGAGAGGCAAGAAAAGCTTTTCTTGCATTTTCTTTTGCTGATGTCAACACACAACCTTTGCGCTCAGGGCTAGTTGAAGATGCTGCTGATAATATTGTGGATCTACCAACTGATGATGGGAGTCAGTTTTCGAAGAGCACACCGGTGTGTCTGATGCTTTATATCTTCAAGTCTTTTTTCATCATCTAGGGCTTTATATTTCTGTTGCAATTTTGGAAGTTGACTGTTTCACCGTCTTGGTGTGTCTGATGCTTTATATCTTCAAGTCTTTTTTCATCATCTAGGGCTTTATATTTCTGTTACAATTTTGAAAGTTGACTGTTTCAGCGTTTTATTAATTGCATCTCATCCTCATGGTAATGCTTCATTTAGTCTGTTTATGTTACTGGCGTGGCCAGTGTGAGTGGAAGACTGCGAGATTTTGCTGTCTTTTTTCTTCTTTTTTTTGGGCGATACAATGATGCTATCGATTTTCTTAAAGCATTCGTTTCTTATAACTTATGCCCCTAATCTTTTAGGAGTGCCTGATGTGTGGATCTCAGTTTTTTCTTTCTCTTTCAAGTTTCAACTAGAACAAAGTGAGGTTATCTGTACTGAACTTTTTGATTGTATGATTTCTCAAGTTTATTCTATTCACTTTTTTGTTTGGTGAAAGAAGGGGATGTCAACTGAATCTAGTGATTGACCTATGTTACCCTGGATAATGAATAATATAACATCTTCTATGAACATGTTACATGCGAAGGGAATTTAGATTACAACATACTAACTCATTGCATGTATTTGCCGACCTAACATAGTTCCTTTGCCCGACATTGTTCTGACAAAAATAATTTTCTTAGAAAATGAAGAGTAAAAGGAGAACGAAAGCTGGCCTCAATTGACAACATTATAAGATGTAAATCAATTAAAGATCTAAAAAAAAAGTGCACACAGGCCTTTGGAGATTGATTACTCCAAGAAACAGTCTTTTTGTCATGCCATTCAATGGCAAGAAACTCTCTTTCTCAATGCATTCCTTTTTTCATGAAATCTTTTGAGTTTTCAGTATTTGAGAACTGATAAAGACAAAATGGGATTCTCCATTTGGGTTGGATGCATTCGTTCCTACTACATGGTTGTAAGCGAGATCAGAAGATTGTCATTTGCTTGCGTTCTTTCTTTTTCTTTTTGATAACAAAAGTAGTGGTTTTGTATTCTTACAGAAATTTCTATGCTCTCTTTTAATTTATGCTTTGGGATGCTTGGTTCCCTAACTTTTTTCCGGGTTGTTTCTTTACTTATTTAGGTTTATGTGCTAAACCCAAAGGAGGACTTGCATGGTTTAGGCTATGATCCTTACAAACATGCTCCTGAGTTTAGAGGTACTTAATGTCTCAATAAAGAGAAAACATTAGCTGAGCTCTTATATTGTCAGTGGCTAACTGCTTTGCTTATTTCAGAAAAGAAGAGGTCACGGATGTCTAAGAGTAGGGAAATCGGGCATCGAGAACCTCTAGTCTTGAAGGATAGCCTATTTGGTTTCAAATGTAAGATTTAATCCATGTGTTTTCATATAGTACCTTTTATCTTCTTTCAAAGACTACATTATCTATGTAGGCTCTTTAGCTATTTGGGTTGATTTTATCAGCAGGAAGGGTTGCTCCTGGATTTGGTATTGGGGCACTTGAAGATCTTGATGTTGAAGATGAAGATGTGTATGCATCAGGTTTATGTCTTCTCCTTTTGGCAGTAAATCAAGTTCGCAAAAATAAACAAATAAATTCAGGTTTTTACTGATAAGTGCAAGAATCAGTAAATTAGTTGTAGGAATATGGACTATGGAAATTCCTCTGCTGCCTTCTTTTATTCTTCTCTTATGAAGACAAGATCATTTTTTTCCGGTTGTGTCTATTCCTTTTTGTTGCAGAAACTCTGGTGCTGCTTATGGTTATACCAAGCACCGCCACTGAGTTTATGCTCATTGATCTTTAATGAAATTCTTTATTACTATCAAAAAAGTTTATGCTCATTGACTGGCCCCAGGGAGGGGGAGGGAGTAGTGGTTGGTGAACCAAAAGTTCGGGATAGGAAATTGAGGCATAAAAAGTTTGAAATTCATATGTTATCAATGGGGAATTTCATTGGTGCAAAATGCAGAAGTAAGGTTTAATAGAAGTCCATTTACTGGGGTGCAAAATGCACTCTGGTGCACTTTTCAAGTAATTTTTGTGAGAAAGCACGGGAGAAAAATATTATTAATTATCTAAAGTGTTGTACAATGCCTTATTTATATACAGTGATTACATAATAATAGGTATCTACTTCCCGATGTGGGACACTATACATGACTAACTACTTAACACTCCCCCTCAAGTCGGTGCATATAAATCATATGTACCGAGCTTGTTACAGATGTAACTAATACGAGAACCAGTGAGAGACTTAGTGAAAATATCTGCTAGTTGATCATTCGACTTCACAAACTTTGTAACAATATCTCCTGAGGGTATCTTTTCTCTGACAAAGTGATAGTCGATCTCAATGTGTTTAGTCCTCTCATGGAACACCGGATTTGACGCAATATGAAGAGCAACTTGATTATCACACACCAGTTCCATTTTGCTGATTTGTCCGAACTTCAACTCTTTGAGCAACTGCTTGACCCAAACTAGCTCACATGTTGCCATAGCTATGGCCCGATATTCGGCTTCGGGCTAGATCGAGCAACTATATTCTATTTCTTGCTCTTCCTAGAGACCAAATTACCTCCTACTAGAACACAATATCCAGACGTAGAATGCCTATCAGAAGGTGATCCTGCCCAATCAGCATCTGTGTACCCAACAATCTGCTCGTGGCCTTGATCCTCGAATAGTAATCCTTTGCCTGGAGCTGACTTTATATACCGAAGAATGCGAACAACTGCATCCCAGTGACTATCACAGGGAGAATCCATAAACTGACTTACAACATTCAACAACAACAACAACCTAGTATAATCCCACTAGTGGGGTATGAGGAGGGTAGTGTGTACGCAGACCTTAACCCTACCATGGGTACAGAGGCTGTTTCAAATAGACCCTCGACTTTCTTCCCACCAAGAACTCCCCACCTTGCTCTTGGGGTGATTCGAACTCACAACCTCTTGGTTAGAAGTGGGGGTTGCTTACTCACCGGAAAAGAAATGTCAGGTCTAGTCACTGTGAGGTAATTCAATTTGCAAACCATCCTTCTATATCTCGTAGGATCTCAAAGAGGCTCCCCCTGTCCAGGCAAAAGCTTAGCATTCGGATCCATAGGAGTGTTAATAGGTCTGCAGCACATCATTCCAGTCTCCTCAAGAATGTCTAAGCTATACTTCCGCTATGAAATAGCAATACCTGAGCTAGACTGAGCGACCTCAATACCTAGAAAATACTGAAGTGCTGAAAGAGATGCTGCTTCAGATTAGTAATACCATCATGATCATTGCCGGTAATAACAATATCATCAACATAAACCACCAGATAAATACACAGATTAGGAGTAGAATGCCAATAATATACTGAGTTATTAGCTTCACTAAGAGTCATACCGAACTCCTGAATAATTGTGCTAAATTTGCCAAACCAAGCTCGAGGGGATTGTTTCAAACCATATAGTGACTTGCGCAATCGGCATACAAGACCACTAGACTCCCCTTGAGCAACAAAACCAGGTAGTTGCTCTATATTATTTCTTCCTTAAGATCATCGTGGAGAAAAACATTCTTAATGTCTAGCCGATAAAGAGGCCAATGATGTACAACAGCCATGGACAAAAAGAGACGAACATATGCTACTTTAGCCACGGGAGAGAAAGTGTCACTATAATCAAGCCCAAAAATCTGAGTGTATCCTTTTGCAACTAGACGAGCCTTAAGCCGATTAACCTGGCCATCGGGGCAGACTTTGATTGCATAAACCCAAAGACAACCAACAGTAGACTTACCTGTAGGAAGAGGAACAAGCTCCCAAGTGCCACTCACATGTAAAGCAAACATCTCGTCAATCATAGCCTGTCGCCATTCTGGATGAGATAGTGCCTCACCTGTAGACTAGGGATAGAAACAATGGACAAAGATGATATAAAAACATAATGAGGTGATGACAGTTGATGATAACTTAAACCGACATAATGAGGATTAGGATTAAGTGTGGATCGTACACCTTTGCAGAGTGCAATTGGTTGACTAAGAGGAGACAAGTCCGCAGTAGGTGCAAAATCTGATGCACGACGTGAATCACCTGGGCCTGATGCTGGATGTGGATGACGATGATAAGTCAAGAGTGGTGGAGTTGCAGAAGGTTGAACTGGACTAGGTGGTAGAACCGGAGCTATAAGTGGTGGAACTGGAGCTATAGGTGTTGGAGCTGCAACAGGAGCTGTAAGTGTTGGAGCTGGATTTGTAGAGGAAGATGAATGAGAGATAGTGACTGAATCTCCAAAAGATGAAACTGGTAGCACCTCAGAAATATCTAAGTGATTACCTGGACCTATGAAGTATGATTGCGTTTCAAAGAAGGTAACATCAGCTGACATAAGGTACCGCTGGAGGTCAGGAGAATAACATCGATACCTCTTTTGCGTTCTCGAGTAACCTACGCACTTAAGAGCACGATGAACTAACTTATCTTTTTCCGGAGTAAGGTTATGAACAAAACACGTGCTTCCAAAGACACAGGGTGGAAGAGAGAATAAAGGTAAGTGAGGAAACAGGACAGAAAATGGAACTTGATTCTGGATAGCCGAAGATGACATACGATTAATAAGATAACAAGATTAAGAACTGCATCCCCCAAAAACGCAACGGAACATGAGATTGTATGAGTAGGGTACGAGCATTTTCAATAAGATGTCTATTCTTTCTTTTAGCTACCCCATTTTGTTGAGATGTGTATGAACAAGATGTTTGATGAATGATCCCATGAGAGTTCATAAACTGCTGAAATGGGGAAGACAAATACTCGAGGGCATTATCACTACGAAATGTGCGGATAGAAACCCCAAATTGATTTTGAATTTCAGCGTGGAAGGTCTGGAAAATAGAAAACAACTGAGACCGATTTTTCATAAAAAATATCCAAGTGCACCTGGAATAATCATCAATGAAACTGACAAAGTAGCGGAATCCCAAGGTAGAACTGCCCCGACTAGGACCTCAGACATCTGAATGGACTAAAGTTAAAGATGACTTTGTTCGATTATCAAGACGCCGAGGGAAATGGGAGCGGGTATGCTTACCGAGCTGACATGACTCATACTCGAGAGTGGACAAGTGAGATAAACCAGGTACTGTTTTCTGGAGTTTTGACAAACTGGGATGTCCCAACCATTTATGTGATAAATTTGGTGAATCAGTAACAAGACAAGTTATTGAAGGAAGACAAGATGTGAGGCCATGTGATTTTGCAAGGATAAGGTAATAAAGTTCATCTGATTCATGCAGGTACCAATGATCCGCCCCGTATTGCGTTCCTGTATAAACAAGGTCATCAAGAAACAAAACAACGCATTTAAGTGATTTGGCTAAGCAACTAACGACAGTGAGATTAAAAGGACTATTGGGAACATAAAGAACAGAATCTAAAGGTAAGGAAGAAAGTAAACTTGCTTGACGTATTGTAGTTGCCATGGTTTGAGACCCATTGGCCATTGTGACTGTTGGAAGAGATTTAGAATACGAAATGCTAGTGAAAAAAGATTTGTTACCAGAAATATGATCAGATGCACCTAAATCAATGACCCAAGACTCAGGGGTTGAAGATTGGGAGACACAAGTCACACTACTATCTCTTTGAACAATGAAAGCTATCCCTGAAGATGTCTGTTTACATGCTTTGTACTGAAGGAACTCAATATAATCTGGTAAAGAAACCATCTGGATTGGATCCAACTGATTGTGAGTTAAAGGCTTCTGATATGAATGCCATTATAATGTTGCACCGGAGAATATAAAAGTGGTCGGAATTTGATTTAAACTTGAATGAAAAGACTCGGAATAACCTCCCGAGTAATCTATCAAAAAAAAGTTTCGTCGGAAAAATAACTGTAGCTGCCGGAAAGTCAGTGTAGTTGCCGAAAAATCTCAAAGTGATCGGAATAAAAAGAAAAAGGTATGAGTAGGATCGGAATTACTGTGCAACCAGGCTGTCCCGAAGAAGCTCGGCCAAAAAAATGGTCGGAAGAAGCCTCACGCTCCGGCGTGTGACGTCGGAGATTCACCGGAAAAATTTCCCGGCGGCGCGTGAGGGCGCGTGGGAGGAGGTTTGCCGGAGAAATTTTTACCGGTTGATCGCCGAAAGCTGATCTACCTCGTGGTGGTGTTGGTTTTTGCACAATACAGACGAATATGGACTTTTTTTTGCGGACAGTGCTGTTTTGCCGGAAAAAGGCTATTTGTTTTTTTTTTCTTTTTTCCGGGAGTCGCTGGAATTTATGCACAGCGATAAATATCTCACGATTGCTCTGATGCCATGTGAGAAAGCACGAGAAAAAAATATTATTAATTATCTAAAATGTTGTACAATGCCCTATTTATATACATGATTACATAATAATAAGTATCTACTTCTCGATGTGGGACACTATATATGACTAACTACTTAACAATTTTATTGAAGTCCCTTTCGTTCTCAAGTTTCTTTTGTATTTGCAAAATGTCTTTACTACCTTCTATTTTTCTTTCCCCATGTGTACTTTTCAAGAAAGAAGTAGTGTTTATAAGTTAGAGATTATAGCTTCGTTTTGCCATCCTGGATTTGCAGTACTTTTTTTCCCTCTCTAAGTAGACTTTTCCTGAATACAGTCAAGTGTTGTCCTGCATGCTCGTTTGGTCCAGTTTGCAGGTTGGAAACTGCAAAGTAACACACTATTTTTCTTTCTTCTAGTATCGGGTGATCTTATGACTTTGCGTTAATTGTGTCTTTATTCGCATCCCTCCAGCTCGTAATAGCGCAGAGGTATGGGGCAAAAATGTAGTTGTGCTTGAAAGTTTCTTATCTTGGCTATAATTCCTTAACAGGTTATGACTTCGAAGAGACTTATGTCGAGGAAGTTGAAGAGCCTTCAAGACCAAAGGTGGAGAATCTGAAACTGTTGGACAGGAAGGCGCATGATGTTTTACCTGGTTTTAGTGCTGCTTCAAAGTCCGATTATCAGCTGGAAAGGTATTCTCACGACACTTATTCTTTTATCGGAAGAAACTCAAGCTGTTTGTATCTTCTCCATCTTTAATTATCTTATTGCGCCTGCTTGACCACAGTTCAATCTAGAAGATAGAAAAAATCAGATGGTGCAAAGAATGTTGAAGCATGCCATTTTATTTTTCCTTGGATGGATGAAGGATATGTTTTTGAGCAGAGGATCTGCATCTGTGGGTGCACCCAGATGAAAAACAGCCAATATGTCACTATTGAAGTAAATAAAAAGCTCTTGTAATGGATACAGTAACTGGAATAATTTTTGGACTTAGTTTTTACACTTAATGTCTATTATGCATGGCCCAACATGTTCAAATTACTGTCTATAGCTATACCCCATGTTTTCTATCTGGGTTTGTCCATTTTAGTACCAGACTATGCAGATAAACAAGTCATGTCTTGGTCTTCCATTGGACAAATATGCCTTTTATTATTTACAACTTCCCCTTGTTTATTAGAATGAGATTCCGAAAGAATGTTTTGTATGCCATTCATTGGCTGCAATAGAGCTAACAAACATGAGGTGGATATTAAGATGAGAGAGCTGGTGACATGATAAAGGCCAGATGTTCTTATGTCCTAACTGTGGGAATCCTTCAGTTTTCAGCACCCATAGAAGGTAATGCCTCGAGGGGAAAGTTATAATCCCTTGATAAGTCTTTATCCAAAAAAAGAAGAGAAAAATGAAAAATTCTATTGATAAAGAAATTTAGTAGCAAAATTCCTAAGACCATTTTTTGGTTCTTCCACAACAATTTTTAGCTCTCCGCAATAAGGGTCGTCACTTTGCTTTTGTTGTGGGAGGCGAGGTTGAGATGCGGGAAGCGAGTTTGAGATGGTTCGGGCATGTTAAGAGGAGAAGTATAGAAGCCCCGGTTAGAAGGTGCGAGCGGTTAGCCTCGGTGAGCAGTAGGAGGGGTAGAGGTAGGCCTAAGAAGTCTTGGGGAGAGGTTATTAGGCGGGTCATGGCGCAACTGGAGCTAACTGAGGACATGACCCTAGACAGGAGAGTGTGGAGGTCAAAGATTAGGGTAGAAGGTTCATAGGTAGTCGAGCGTTTCTCTTTGTCTTACTCAGTTTGCTAGCATTAGTGTTAGTATGATATATGGCTATTACTACCTAGAGTTTGACTGCATTCTTTGATTCGATCTTATTTCATCTTGTTGTTATTCCTACTTGTTGCAATTACCTTTTCTCTTTTTCTGTCGTTCTCTAGTCGAGGGTCTATCGGAAACAACCTCTCTGCCATTCTAAGGGTTGGGGTAAGGCTGCGTGCATATTACTCTCCCCAAACCCCACTCGTGGGAAACTACTGGGTTTGTTGTTGTTGTTACTTTGCTTTTGTTGTGGTCATGAAGGATTTAATGACTCCTTTATCCGTCTTTTGTTGTTTCCTCATCTATTCTACAGCTGCTATTTCTCTAGATGCGATCAAGAAATTAAGTTATTTAAGGTGTATGGTCACACTTGCATATGATGGAAACCTTGTCAACTTTTATTTCATTTTTTTCACTCTAACTCATATTTGTTCACCAATGTCAACAGATTTGATCCTCCAGCGATTCCACAGAATTTTGTTCCCCATCATAAGTTTGCAGCTCCGCTTGACTTTGATTACAAGACTTCAGATCTCCCTCCCCCTGATGTTCCTCCTCCAGAGGATAATAATCTTAGAATCTTGATTGAAGGGTTGGCTACATTAGTAGCTCGTTCCGGTAAATTACTTGAGGACATTTCTAGAGAGAAAAATCAGTTCAACCCTTTATTTGGTTTCCTGAATGGAGGAATGGGTCGTGACTATTATGCAAGGAAACTTTGGGAGGAGAGACAGAAACGTAATGATCAAGGCAAACAACAGGTGGATGCAAAAATGTCTCGGAATGTGCAGAAGATGACCGCGGAAAGCCGCGGTCAGATATTAGGAGAGAAGCCTATCGAAAGAAGTTTGAGAGACGCAAATACTGCTGGTATATCTGCTGATGTGATCAATTTCCCATCCAATCTTTCAGATACATTTACTAAACCTGCTTCAGTGGTAAGTAGTTCACTACTGGGTAGCTTTAGTATAGCTTGATACTCAGTTTCGGCTGAATAAATCTTTGGTTGTTTCACGAACTATCTTGGCACCATTTTAAGTCAACTTTGGTAGGGGTCGGTCAAGGTAGTGTCTTACTGTTTGTCTTTTCTGGTGTCCAAGACAAAGGTTGGTATACTTGGGATCCAGGTTCCTTTTTCTTTTTTTAAACTTAATTTTTTGGCCTCGATTTTAAGTGTAAAAATGTCATATGTATAGTGATCATCAAAGTTGGCTACTTTTAGTTGAAAAGTTGTCTCGTTTATGTAGCAAGCTGTATTCAGATTTAGTGCTGAGTAACTAGTAGATTAGTGTTTAAGGCCTCAAAAATGAAAAATGCATTTGAGGTTAGAAAGGCATACATGAGTTAGTTTTGCCACAGCGTAAACTGGAATTTGTTTTGGTGATTGCTGATTCTGAACTTCCTTTCTGCAGACTGAACTTCCTGAAGCTGCAAAGCCTTTCCAAGATGATCCTGCTAAGCAAGAAAGGTTCGAGCAGTTTCTGAAGGAAAAATACCACGGAGGTCTTCGCCCTAAAGATGGTGGTGGAGCAAGTAATATGTCAGAAGCTGCTCGTGCTCGTGAAAGGTTAGAATTTGAATCTGTAGCCGAGGCAATAAATAAAGGAAAATTGGGAAAGGAAAGTGTTCCGCCTAATGAGTTTTTCTCAAGTACGTTAGCTACTGCAGGATTGCAATTCACTTCTGGAGCTGAGGCACGTACACTATCTAACTTCTGAGTGAATGGTTTGAAGTTGGCAGTTTGTCCTGATTTTAACTGCTGTCTGTTGCAGCTACCTAAATTTGGTAAAGATGATGGTTTAGCGGCAGCAAAAATGTATCCAAAACGGGAGAAATTCCAGTGGCGACCTTCACCTCTTCTTTGCAAGCGCTTTGATCTTAATGACCCTTATATGGGCAAGGTACCAACAATTAGTGTATATTTCATGATTGTTATGTGTCAATCTATCAAACTCCACCCCTGTACTTTGGCTGGGCACTGGTATCTCCTGAAGAAATTGCAGTTGTTGAAGTCATCAACTTTTTCTTTTTATGAAAGTTCAGTTGGGCTTCATGTGTTTTCCCAGGAAAGCCTTTTTTTTATATATATATTTAAAACCATGGTGTCCGGGACGATTAATCCACAGGGTACCTGATACCTCCCACCAACACATGTACCTACTAATTCGCTAAGAGTTAAGCACATCTTCACGCTAGCAGTGAGGTTGGTTCTGGTAGATGAGAGGACAGTTGACAGATGATTGTGATACGGGTTGTTTTCCTTCCTTTTTTTTTTAACTGTAATTGATTGTCACGGTAAACATTCTTGAATCTTGAGTGTAGGAATTTTCTGATTTCTTCTCTAAGTGATCCAAATAGAATTAGGTTATTCACATGGAATTTAATGGATTTGATATATTTAGGCTTTTGCTTGTGATGTAGGCTGTAATTATGACTTGCGAAGATAAAGGGGTCTCCTTGTTATCCGTAGATACCTAGTTGGCTCCTAGTAAATTATTGCTTTTTGATGGATATGGCAAGATTAAGGGAGTCCAAGTTTCCAGGGAGAATTCACCTTATTTGTATGTGGCCTTTTTTAATCTTTTAACTTTTTCTTCAGCTCTTGAAAACGAAAAGTCCCTTTTTTATCAATTAAAAAAAAGTCATTGCTATATTTGCATTCAGCACCTCTTGTATTTTCTGTTCTGGAAGTTGATTTAGGCTTTGACATAAGAATGTCTTTTACAAAGATTGAAACTAAGAAGAGCAAAATAAAATAAAAAATAAAAAAACTCCTTTGTCATCAGACAGTGGTCTACTACTCACTGTTCTGGTGATCTTTCCAGTCACACTCTCTCCATCCACAGTTCCTCCTATTCTTTCGGCAGCTCTTCCTGCCTTTGTTTGACAACTTTTCGAGCAGCTTTTTTGAAATACTGGCTACGTGTTATTCTCTCAAGGGTTTAATTTATTGAGGCGCAGAATGAGCAAACTCAATTTGGTATCCCGCCTTGAGGTTGAGGGGCATCTTACAATGTTAAGATTACTGAGAGCGTGTTAGATTGTTAAGTGATAGTGTTAGAATGTTAGAAGTGTTAGTTTTTAAATTAGATATTGTCCTTGTTAGACATATTGTTTAGATATATATAAATAGGTGAGTTGTTATTATCTAATTCTGAAGTCATTCAATACATCTTTATCTAATTCTTTTGCCATGTATCACCAAAGTTGACTGAGCTCTATCTTGTATTATGCAGCCACCCCCAGCTCCACGCTCGAGGAGCAAATTGGACTCACTTGTATTTTTGCCTGATTCTGTTAAAGCTGCAAAGCTTGAAGAAGATGATGTTTCTGGGGATAGGATCGAATCCTCTCTCCGAGTCCAGGAAGGCCGTAAAGAAGGAAAACTAATGGTTGACCAGGAAATTGAGGTTGAGACAGAACCAGAAAATGTTGAAAGGCCTGTTGATTTGTACAAGGTATTTAGTCTTCTTGTCCAAATCAGTTGTTAAAGTATACTGTAGTTCCTTATTGAAAGGAGACTATTCTTGCTAAGTTCTCTCTTATTTGGGATATTCACAATACTGATTTTGCTATTGGGACAACGATAATATATCCGCAATAAGCGCTTCTATTTGCTCCTTGATGAGGTTGTATATCAGATGTATCAGATGTATGTGATAGATCGTAACCTCGAGGTTACAAAAACGAGGTTAGAAACTAGTGCTTTTAGATTAGGTTAAAAAAACTAGTGCTTTCGATTACTTAGTTTTTTTAGGGAGGTCAAAAGGGATAGGTGGTACTTTTACGGAGGTCAAAAGGGATGGAAGTGTGGAATGTTTCTTCTCTCATTTTTCTTTGTTTGAAGAAGGGTTGGGATGGCTTATTTTCTTCTCAATTTCTAGTTCCACGAATGGGTGAGTGGCGGGTTCTATTGCTTTCTGATTGGGGCTATTGTTCTCAGGAATTCCTCCCTGCTTTGTGGATCAAGTTGGAAATCTCATGAACTTAGCTACTGCTTGGGTTAGTTGGTTCAGTTTCCTAGTGCATTGCCTGAAGAAGGATGCTTTTTTGCTGATATTGATTATTTTAAAAAGTAGTTCAATTTGCAACTGCCTTACTGCTGTTTCCTATGCTGCTCGGACTCTCCAAAAATGTGGCCGGATATGTGTCGGATCCTCCAAAAGTAGTGCATTTCTGAAGGATCCGACACGGGTGCGGCTATATTTTGGAGAGTCCGCGCAACATAGGTTGTTTCTAGCAGATATGTTTTTTCTTCTTTTTTTTCCCCTTCTGTTGGAGTGGGATGGGGTTGGGTGGTTTTCTTAGAGTTTTTAAGATCAATCTGCTAATGAGCGAGTAGTGTGACTTCAATTATCTAATGTGCTTTGTTCCCTGGTGTGTGATGGGATGGGGTTGGGTGCTTTTCTTAGAGATTGTAAGATCAAGCTGCTGATGAGCGAGTAGTATGAATTCATTTACCTAGTGTGCTTTGTCTCCTTTGCATAAGCTTACAGCCTATCGTATTGTTCAATATTCATCTGTAGGCTATATTCTCTGATGATTCGGATGATGAAGCAGAAACTAGCAATCAGAATGTTGCAGAGTATCCTCAAAAGAAGGTTGAAGCTGCTAATACAACTTTAAATCGCTTAATAGCTGGTGACTTCTTAGAATCATTGGGCAAAGAACTAGGTTTGGAGGTTCCTGTCGATATGCCTTTGCCAGAAAACAAAACCAGTAACCCAGCTAAAAAGGATGCTGTTCCGGTAGATCTGGGAGCAAAGAGCATTAACCAAACTGGTAATGCATCATCCGCCTCCCACACTGTTGGTGCGGATTTGTCAGATCCAGTATTGGCAGTAGGAAATAGTAATCAGAACATCTCTCGAGAAGGTAGATCTAGTAGAGAAGGAACTATAGATATCAACTCTCAGAGAAATGGTCGCGGAGGAAGTGTAACTGAAAGATACGGGGATGATGTTGAAAAAAATAGGTTTGAAAAGGAAACTCAAGCACATATACTTGCAAAAGCAAAAGGAGATCAGCACCAAAATAAGAGCAGCAGTTCATCAGAAGATGAAATTGATAGAAAGCGCAGGCGAGCTCACAGAAGCAGCAGTCCAGATGGGGATGCCTCTTCTCATTCATCCGAAGATTATAAAGACCGTCATCGTTCAAGGTCACGAAAGAAAAAATCATCTCAGGAAAAGAGTAGTAGAAGGCACTCAAAGCACCATAAACATAGAAGGAGAGACTCTCGAAGTCCTAGTAGACATTCTCGTCACGGTGGTTCAGAAAAAGAACGTAGAGAAGCTAAGAGAGAGAAGCGTAGATACAGGAACTGAAACATTTTATCATCTGCCCAATTGAAATGGATTTAAGGAACTACTTTAATTCATTGCTGAATAAATATCCACGATGTTCCAGATAAATGGTTTGTTTCTACTGGATCAGTTCATGCTACTTGCTTTTACTGCTTTGTGCCCATTTGAGCACTATGCAGAGAGCTCGTGCTCTTTGGTCAATCAATAGGTGCCAAGAGACAGGATGCTGAAGATCTCACTAGGAAAATCCTTCGACTTGCCAAGTGATCATCTTCATTCAGTCTGCTCTGGCTCATCTCATCCATCGAGCTTTTCATTGTACACAGTTGTATAATTGTAGGGTTGGTCTGAATATCTGTTTCATGGTTTAAAGACTTATTTAATGGTAAAGCAGGCCACCTATATTTCTTTCTGAGGTCTTGGGAATTGGTTTGTACGTTCTATGTTGTATGTGATTCCTTTTTTACTATCTGAGCAAGTGGATTTTTCTATCTATCCTGCTTCAATTTTTCCAATACTCTTTTTTCTTTTCAATTTTCTTTTCTTCTTTGGAGGTTGCACTGAAAAATGGCAAATGTATACCTGGGAAGGACGTCGCAACTGGTTTATGGCTTGCTTGTCGGAAGTTTACTTGTTAAGCTGATGCATTGCTAGATAGAGCTTTGCATTCTCCATCCTTTAAAATGAAAAAACCTGTGGAATGACGATGATAGAGTAATTGATCCCATATCAAGCTCTAGAAAAGGATACTGCCTTACATGGGTGAAGTGATTTTACTTCCTACTAAGTATAAGCTAGTTGCCTTTACAAGTTATAAGGATCAGTTCGACGAATTGTCGAAGTAATTCCTGTTACCTCGCCTACAGGCAAACTACTTGACCTTAGGCCTAAGCGCCATATAAGTCAAAAGCTAGCGTGAGACCTAAAAAAGCAAGGTTGAAATCCATCCCTTTTTTTCCTGTATTTTACCTGTAGGGCTTTCCCCAACCATTAAAGGAAAGGCTCGACGAAGGGAGGGAGGTGTGGCAGGGGAAGGAAAACGCTTTTGGAGATAGACATTTTTTTTTTCATCGAAAACGAAGAAGGCCGAGGATGACCTACGGTGCGTCTTATCTGCTGGAGTCAACTGTACCCCCAAAATTCCCTTTGTATTATTGCTAACAGTCTTTCTAAAATTTGACAATCTGTCACCATTCCTCTTTTAATATTCACTTGCTGTTCCCTGTATTTATATTGGTTGGTAATGCTTTCTGGCAAGGGAATGCTTTAGCCAACTGGCGGACAAATTTACTTGAAAAACACTCTGCAGTCTCCATGTCAACTCAAATCATAGCCACAATGGTTCCACTGGATTAGCTAATCAATACGCACCTAACTGCTTTAATGTCTACATAAAAAAAATACAGAGACACATTTTCTTTCCTTTCTGTTGGGGAGAAAAGAGAAGAAACCAGGGGAAGGGGACGGGGGGAATTAGTCTTAATCTACATGAATCTTACCAACTAGTAAAATTTAGAATAAAACAAAGCCTAACAATATCCCATTAATCGACTCAAAACTATTCACAAGTAAAGATGATCATCAACACATTGATACCAAGACAGTTATGAGATTTTGTACAGTTAGCTGATTGATACAAATACCAAACCATCAAAGCATCGCCATTGTTATGAAATAGGGATGCCAAGAAATTCTGCAGCAGACCTAGCCATAACAGTTGCAAACTCATTAAAACTAATGACACCATCTCCATCAACATCAGCCTCTTTAATTATCTCCGTTAGTTCACGATACGTTAACGGCTGTCCCATCTTAGCCATTGATCCAGCCAACTCCGCCAACGTAATATAACCATTGCCATCTCGATCAAACGATCGAAAAACTTCCAAAAGCTGTCCTTGATTTTCCAATATTTCTCCATTAATTAAATCTGGCATAATGGCATTAACAAGTTCATCAAATTCCACAGCTCCATTTCCATTAGAATCCATGTTGGCTAAAAGAACATGAATTTGATCCCCAGATGGTTTTATACCCAACGAACGTAATAGTGCAGCTAGTTCTAAATGTGTGAGACTACCATCATCGTCCATGTCAAATCTTGAAAATATGTTTCGTAATTGGTCAAGTTGATCAACTTGAAGAATTGACATAATTTGATTTCCTCCTTTTTTCCCCTCTAATAATAATGGCTTGATCATTTGCATGTTTTTTTGGTATTATTTAGCTAAAGGATAGTAGAATGAGAAACGAAAAAAGAGGACACAAAAAAGGAAAAGAGATAAAAATAGGAAGAGAAAATTGGTGGTGATGAGAGGAGATTGTGCAGTGTTAAAGAGATGTGAGTTCAGTCAAGGCGTAGAATTGGTCAGTTAGAATTGAAAGCAATATATGGGTTCCATGTAATGATTATTTTGTAGTAAAGAATTGGGCGTCGGTGGATTTAATTTAATTTAATTTAATTTAATTTTTAGCCTAAAGTTGGAAGGATGAAGTTCAATGTATCATTCAGGGGAACTTCCTAGCTCAGTTCTTAAATAAAAAAAATAAAAAAATAGAAAGAGCCGTTCGTATGTCAGTTCTTTGAATTTTCCTAAAGTCATTTGTGTCCCTGAGGTGGGTTACTGGATTTAATTTTGTGCTCATCATTCAACTCAAAACTTAAAAAGTAATGGACTTTAAATTATATATACTGATTACAACTAAATTATTATTTTTATAAACTATTGGTTATTAAAGATTTACATATATTTATCTTCTTATAAATAAACATGATAGAGCATTGAAATATTATGAACCCAAATAGAGCATTTATGATATTATGGGGTCATACCAACCTACAGCAGCTAGCTTGAGAGGCGTAGCTTTTGTTGATAGAGAATGCTGATTGCTTATTGACTTTAAAAAGAGATATTTAATAGGTTAAAGTAAATTAAAGAGGACCTAATAGAAAAAGGGAATGCTTTTTGTATGGGTCCAAATTTGGCTACAACGACAAGTGTTAAGTAAGGCGCGGAACAAGGTTACTACAACACGTCTAATGGTCGTTGTGGCCAAGGACGACAACCAAGAGCGGTCAGCCGAAACAGGACATTAACAATAGTTTAAACTTAGAGGGGGATAATGAGAATATGCTTTTTGAATATTCTTTATATTGTATTTTTAGGGTTTCTTGAGAAATTGTCCCTTATAAATAGGAAGAGGGAATAAAGAAGTAAGGGGATCCGGGAAAAGAGACAAAAGAACACTTTGTAAAAGATTTATTTGAAAGAATATACAAAGATGGCCTGATTCATTGATTGCATAACTCAAAGTGTACATTATTGTTCTATACTGACAAGATCCAAGGAGTCCTCAATCATTTGATACTTCCTTCTTTTCTACACTATTGCCAAGGGAAGAGGCTTCCCAAAAGATCATAATAATTGAGTAGTAACTTCCTTTGATTACGTTAGCCGTATTTATCTAGATTTATTGTGCCTTGATGTTGCTGAATTCATGAGTGTCTAATCGGCTCAATATATTAACTAACGTCTTTCGTCTCGTCTACTTCATTTATCATTTGGTCTAGATTTTATTATCTGTAACTAAGATTTACCCCTCTTCTCATCATTAATTGATTTAGACAAAAGGTTCAAAACCTTTTGGTCAAACAATTTGGCGCCGTCTGTAGGGGGGGGGAGGGGGTCTTTNAAACTAACGATGGCAGGAAAAAGAGATGCAAGGTTAAAAGTAATAGCGGGTGTCACAACTAACCACCTGGACACCATCAACAAAGACGGCAGGGCAGACAATGAAAACGTGACACCAACCGCTACACCTAGGAGAGACGCTTCGCCTTCTCCACGCGAAAGCGTAACTGCTTCGCGCGAAAAGGAAGCCTCCACGTCTACAACAGGAGAGGCACCACCGACGGTAAAAAGGTTACTAGAAGAATGGCTAACAAACACTCTGAACAACATACTTGAAAAATCCGCTCAAAGGGAGAATAGAGACATTGCACACATAGATATCATGACAACCATTGGCGAACAAGACGCCCCTCGAACAGGTAATACTCATACCACTGTTGACGCATGTAACGACACACTTGCAGCCATTCTAAAGAAAATGGAGGAAATGGAAAATGAGAATAAGGCACTCCATGACCAGATGAAGGAGCATCAAGAAAGGGTCGATAAAATATCAGGCACCCCAAAGTTGTTATCGAAATGGGACGTCGGTCGATTCATCGAGCAACCGTACAACGAGGAAGCAACCCCCACGCCATACTTAAAACCTTCAAAATACCACCATACCTGAAAATATATGATGGTACTACAGACCCAGAGGATCATATCATCCACTACGTCACAACCGTAAAAGGCAATGATATTTCGAAAGAAAAAGTACCATCAGTACTACTGAAAAAATTCAGCAAAACCCTAACGGTGGGAGCCCAACCTGGTACTCACAACTGCCGGCGCGATCAATAGCAACATTCGAGGAAATGGCGGACAAGTTCGTCACCGCTCATGCAGGAGCTAAAAAGGCGAAAGCCAGGGTAAACGACATATTCGCCATTAGGCAAACGTCCGGTGAGGGACTCAGGGACTTCTTAGCCCGATTTAACAGGGTGAGAAAGAGCCTATCGAATTTATTAGAGGGGATGGCGGTAGCGGCCTTTCAGAATAGGTTGAGCAGGAATAGGTCGAGAGCAACCAGGAAGCTATTAAGCAGGCTCATGAAATACCCTCCCACCACTTGGGAAGAAATCTACAACGCCTATTGCGCCGAGGTAAGGGCCGACGAGGACGATCTCAATGGCCAGATTCAACGACTGACATCAGTTCAAGCAAAAATAAGGAAGGATCGTCATAATGACGGTCGAAGAGGCCAGTTGGGTCCCCGTCTCGGACGAGATATACATCAACCCTACATTAGAGTAGCCATCCAACCTCCCCCGTGGAATACAGATGACCCTCCTCATAATGCCACGACACAACAAAACGAAAGAGGCATGCCTCCGCTCTTATCTGCTCACAATTTTTGTGTTTCCCCCTCAGAAATAGTGTATGCACTGGAGAAGCTCGGCACGAAGGTACAATGGCCGCAAAAAATGAAATCCGATCCAAGTACTCAGAAATCGAACATCCTCTGTGAATTCCACTAACAATGAGGTCAGTAAACAGAGGATTGCATAGGTCTACGGCAAGAGGTAGTAAGAATGTTAATTAGGGACACCTGAGAGAACTGATGAGTGACTGAGGGCGAGCCAACTTTGCCCGGGGATGCAAACAACCCCAGGGACCTCCAAAACTGCCCTCCCTCACTCGTACCAATCAAATGATAATCGGTGGAGGTGACGGGACAACAATCAACCATGTAAAGTTCACTACTACACACAAACTCAAACGGTTGATCACTCATGAACGATATAATGACCTCGAAGATAGTATCATCTTCGACAAGTCAAATATCGACGGTTTGTCTTTTCCTCACTACGATGCTCTTGTTATTACTTTACGTATTTCACATATTGATATGAAAAGAATAATGGTGGACGATGAAAGTGGAGCGTGTATTATCCATCCTCGAGTCCTCGCACAGATGAGGCTTGAAGATAAAATAGTACCGCGTTGCATAACACTAACGGATTTTAATATGCAGTCGAGCAAACTTCTGGAGAAATAATGCTACCTGTCCTGGCAGGAGGAGTCACCCTGGAAACAACGTTTCACGTCATGGACCAAGACACAACCTATAACGCCATTATAGGGCATCCATGGATACACGCCATGCGAGCCATCCCGTCAAGTCTCTATCAAGTAATCAAGTTCCCTACTCCATGGGGAATATTCAGCATCCGTAGTGAGCAATGCACCGCGTAAGAATGCTATCACATCACCAAGGATTGCGTACACACCCAACAACTAAAGGGAGCAAGTACGGAAGCATAACAATTAGTGACGTCGGGACCCAAACTCGACGTACAGATGGACGTTATGAAGGATCCCGACATCGTGGAAGCCGGCGAGTCGACCATAGAAGATCTCAATCCCGTCCAACTAGACGGCAATGATAGCACAGAAAAGGCTTATATCGGGCACAATCTCTCAGAACCAAGTAAGTTTCATAAATTGTTAACTGACAATGCCGATCTGTTTGCCTTCTCCCATTCAGATATGCCAGACATCCTGAAAGACATCGCCATGCACAAATTGAATGTTGACCCCCTCTACCCATCATTGTGGCAAATAAGGAGAAAGTTCACTCCGCAATCAACGAAGCCATCACCGAAGAAGTCGATAAGCTGCTTGCCAATGGCTCCGTCCGAGAGTCAAAGTATCCCCAATGGGTTGCCAATGTGGTCATGGTAAAGAAGATAAACGAAAAATGGCGAATGTGCGTTAAATTTACGGACCTGAATAAGCATGCCCAAAATACTCCTTTCCATTGCCACATATCGACCATCTCATCGATGCAACAATAAGATATGAGTTGCTAAGCTTCTTAGATTCATACTTGGGTTACAACCAGATCGTCATAGAGGAAGAGGACCAAGAAAAAACTACTTTCATTACCCACTAGGGAACGTATTGCTACAGAGTCATGCCGTTCGGACTAAAAAATACGGGAGCGACATACTAAAGGTTGGTCACCAAGATATTCAAAGATCAACTTGGCAAAATACTAGAAGTCTATATCGAAAAGAAAAGAAGACCACATCGATGACCTGAAGGAAGCTTTCGACATTCTAAGGCGTTACGACATGAAACTAAACCCCGAAAAATGCGACTTCAGTGTGACCTCATGCAAATTTCTCGGCTTCTTGGTATCAGAAAGAGGCATCGAATCAACCCAGATTAGATCAAGGCCATCAAAGGAATACCCAAAATGTTAACCAGTAAAAAAACATGTACAAAAATTGACGGGTCGGATAGCCGCGCTGTCGAAGTTCATCTCACGGTCATCGGATAGATGCCATAAATTTTTCAATGTGCTAAAGAAATACAATGGACTCCAGTGGAATTCAGAATGCATCGACGCCCTAAGAAAACTAAAAACATACTTGTCCTCGCCACCATTACTCGCTAAGGCAGACCCCGACTAACGCCTCCTTGTCTACCTAGCCATCTCAGAAGTCGTGGTAAGCGCGGTTTTGGTCCGTGAAAACAAAGGTACGCAATCTTCAATTTATTATATCAGCAAAACCTTGGTTGACACCGAAACGAGGTATCCCTACCTCGAAAAACTAGCTCTAGCATTGGTCATAGCTTCACGAAAGCTTAGACCATATTTTCAATGTCACCCTATATCAGTAGTGATGATTTCCCCCCCCTCAGGAGCGTCCTGCACAAACCCGAACTATCAGG